TTCCACATAATTATGCTGTTTTCATTTCTGTGTTAAAAAGATAGCATATTGTATCAAATATCCATGTGCATGAATTTCACTTTTAAATTGGTAATTAGATTGATTGAATCTAGCTGTCCTAATTTCGTATGAATAAGTTTGAGCACATGAGAGTAGTATTTCCATTTATTCATTATAAGGAAATACTCTCTTCGTTTTAAATTACTCGTCGCAGAAATGGATATATCTAGAACTAAAATTCTAGATATATCCATACCTGCGACAAGTAATTCGGAACGGAGGAAGTACATAATTTTGCTTCTTACACACTATATGTATGCTTGTGTGGTTGGCTTTTTAAACGATCGAGCCATTACTTCGTATCCAAGTTTCTGGAAGAAAAAAACTATATAAATCTTTGCCCCATCTCGTTTTTCATTTTGGCTCTGCCCCTGCCGGTGTGTGTATAAGCCGAGGGGTTTGGTCCTTGGAGAGATACGAACACAAGTTTAGGGTTTACAACACAATCATATGATCTCAAGGTAGATCATCTTGCACTCTGTACTTTATCGAATCAATACAATCAAAGCAGGACGTAGGGTTTTACCTCTTCAAGAGGACCCGAACCTAGGTAAATATCGTCACCTTTGTCTCCTGTTACCATTGTTCTAAGATCCACAGCTCGGGACCCCCTACCTATCGATTTTCGCACCGACATATACCCCTTCATTTTGAACAAAAGATAATCGTATGTCGAAATGGTGCTCCCATCAGTGTCCCACACTGGCATGACAGGATAAGCAGGACAAGCAAGCTAGTTAACAATTAAAAGAAACACTAGCATAACACTCGGTGCATTTCTACAGAACCATAATAACGATCCAGTTGTATTGGATAAGTAGTATATAACCGAAAAGTCCATTCTGCACCCGAGCTCATATGCTCCCGCATGAACAGTAAAATCGAAAAAAAATTCAAAAAATCCCAAATTTTTTTTGAGAGAAACATTGACAAAAGTTCTAAGTGCCTGCAAAAATTCATCATGAAATCACATTCCTGTAAGGCGTGGCAAAAAAAACAAATTCAATGATTCAAAATGCATTTGAAAGTAGCTTTTTCAGAGTACTATTTTTGTTTTTTTTTGCCACGCCTTCTAGGAATGTGATTTCATGACGAATTTTTGCAGGCACTTAGAACTTTTGTCAATGTTTCTCTCAAAAAAAATTGGATTTTTTGATTTTTATTGATTTTTTTTGATTTTACTGTCATGCGGGAGCATATGAGCTCGGGTGCAGATTAGCCGCGTATATAACAACCAATGTACGTGCAACACTATGGAGAAGAAACTCGATAAAAAAAGCCAGCAGGGTGTGTCATCTAGTTGCACATTTGAGAACTTATAATTCCGCAATCCCTAGATTTTGTAACTAAGTTAAAACTTGAAGTCGCCTATTCATGGTTGGGTCAGCTCAAGCGTCAACATGTGGGGTTTTTCCATCTTTGGAGGTATTACTCTTGAGTCCTTGACTTGCATTTGCTCTCTTGGTTCTATGTTGCTCATGTTTCTCTAATTTTCACGATGAAAACCTTAAGTCTAATCTTCATTTGTTGTACCTAGTAAAGGCAACATTCGCATCGCTCCTTTGTTGAGGGCAATGCCTAGAGATTGCTCAGTCTTTCTCTTTGAGGCCTATGATTTGGCCTTAGAGCATCTACAGCCGAGCGCCTCAAACCTTTCCCAAATATCTGGACGGGCCACCCGGTCAGTGTCCGGTTATTTATTTTATTTTTTGACTCAGACGAACGCCTCAAACGAATCTCAAACGCCCGGACTGACCGGCATCCCCAATATCGAGCCAAAATATGGAACGGGTATGGGGTGGCCCTGACACGCCCGGGCGCGTCCGCCTGACAAGCCCGGCTCACTACTGACCCCACGAATGTCCCACAAAAAAAACCATCCGGCTCATCGCTCCGAAACCCTAGCTCACTCACTCTCCTCTCTCGCTCTGTCCTCTCCCCTTACCGATTCCGATCGAATCCAGTGCAATGTCGAGCTCCGGCAGCCGCTCCGACAACGAGGTGGGTCCGGAGTATGAGCTTGATCTCCGCATCGCCTTGGAGCGGTCCAAGGTGGAGACCGGGGGCAGATCCGGATCTGCAGCCTCGCCGCAACCACAGCTTCCCCATTGGCGCATCTCAGACGCCGGCGCTGGCCCCTCCCGGTCCATGGGCAACTCCAACAGGCGGCCAGCGCAATCCGCGCCTCCCCTACATCGTCGTCCGCTCGTCCCGTCGGTTGTTGCGTGGGTGCTTGTGCCCGCCCCGCCGGCCCGGACGCGCACGCCAGAGTTGGAGGCGCGCGCCGCCCGCCGCGAGAGGCAGCGGGCAAGGGAGAGGGAGGCTGCTGAGAGCTCTGTCCGTCGCCGGCGTGGGTTACCGGCAGAGCCTGACGAGGACGAGCGGCTCCTCGTGTGGGTCTACCGCCGGTCGTAAGCGACCGGCGAAGAAAGACGCTCGGCGGCTCCGCCTAAAGAACGTGAAGGCTCTTGGGCTTGCCATCGAGCAGTCTAGGCGGGAGGCGGCGGAGAAGGCGGCGGAGGCGGCTCGGCTGGCCAAGCTCACGCGCCAGCAGGACCGGGCCGTCTAGCGCCTCAAGGGCCTCGTCATCGTCGACTCCTACGACGACGACCACGACTCCTTCGACAAATCGGGCGATCCTCCACCAGCCGCCGACGGCTACAGCTACGCCGGCGACCAGAAGGGGAAAGGGCCGGCCCGGAAGTGGTGAAGTTCATTTTTATTTCAAGTTTTAGATGTAGTATAAAGTTGTATGTCGTTTATGTGAACTTTGGTCGATCTTTTAGTGAACTATTGTGCTATTTCTATGTTCGATCAGCTGATCTATATAGTTTGATCGACGTTGCATGATATAGTATAAATATATGGGTTCGGATATGAGAGACATGGATATGGACGACGCGATTTGAGGAGTGCCCAGTTAGTGTCCATGGACGTTTGAGGACCCGGATTTGTTAAGACTGCTTGTAGATGCTCTTAACGGCTGGATCAAGCAACCACAGCTCCCATCACCGTTATCCCCGCAGAGGCATCGTTGTTGGAGAACCTTTCATCATTCGGGTGTTACGAATAGCGGTGGTTGACATTGAAGTTTTGCTACTACGTTGATCATTCAGCGGGATCATGAACTTTTTTCTTTATTGTTTTTCTTCAGGATATTTTTTCTTTATTGTTGTTGCGTAATAGTTTGGATGTATGCATAATCGATGCCTTGACTAGCTTATTACGTCCTATTGCTATAGCGACCGTCTATATTGTCCTTCACAAAACAAAACAGGTATCTCAGTGAGTGAAGGCCTAATCTGGTGATATCCTTTGACCTCTGGCCACACACATTCCTTTTTTACATTATCATTCTATTGCTTGTAACCCTGCTTGTCCATTTGACTGTTCTATGGTGTCTTCTCTGTTTACATGTAGTCTCTCATTGCAAGATTCAACGGCCTTCCGTCTAAAAGATGGATGGAAATCCAAAGGTAGAACCGTGAATTCTGTTTCTGAGGCGATCAACTTATGACGTCCAAAAGAGGCGACGAACTGACGTTGGCGATAACTTAGGAGGCAAGACATATGCATCGCTGCTCCATATAGCCTCCCATAACTTTTCTTTCAAGTGGGGGTGAAAGACCGAACAAAAGGGCAAAGGTCTACCTGATCGGATAACAGCGTGAAGATTCTAAAATGGCACTATCGGATGGTCCAATCCGGCAGGTGAAAGCAAATTGTTGAGCCAAACATGGAAGGGAAATAACTGTAACAAAGGCAGATGCAAAAGCCACAAGTGCATATCCCTCCTCCTCCTTGGCCCCCAAACCAAAGATCGCCTGCCATTGGGCGCTTCGCAGCTAAGGTTAGATAGAACACTGCAGGTCCATGGACATGCACGGCCGGCTTTGGCTGAGTCAAGGGATGGATCTCCAGTCGGACCGATTCATCCCTATCTGTGTATTACTGTTTAGTTTATTTCTGCTGCGAGTAAAATATGATTGCTAGGTGGATAAGAATGGCGGAATACTTGGTACTGACGAGTGAAAACTGAAAGCTTAGTTTGCAAGTTATTAGTCGATTGTGCCGGTCAGCGATCGATGTTGTTGCACATTTTCTTTCTGTATATCCTACCTAATGTTGGGTTTTTTTTTTCTCATGTCTAGTTGGCAAGCATGGGCTGTTTATTTGTCAAAGCAATCCAGCAACCTGATTAGTTCGGACTGGGTCTTCGTTTGGAAGCAGAGGACTGAATTCAGTCTCTTTCAGTGAGATGCGTGGTGGAGATTGTTCCGCAAATGCTACGTACTTGAACAGTTAGATATCGATATGTCATTAACACCTTCAGTGTCGGAATTCTTCAGACATCAACTGCAAGCAATAAATCACTACCATAACTACAGTATCCTCTCGATATCTTCTTCAATGTCAGAATGTTATGGAACTACAGGTGCTGTGTAATACTCCTATATGATACTGATATTGCTGTCCTGCAGGCCAAGTTGAAGATCTCAGTGCAAACAATCTCATATAGTGACTGAGATCACGGAATGATTTTGCAACTGACCGTATGGAATGCCAGTTATGTACGCCGTCAGGAAGACGATCACTTATCTCAAATACGTACTATACATGTTTTACTGTAGAAGAAAGAATGGATATCTAAAACTTGCTCACTGCACTGCACACATACGAATGAAGGCTATCATTTGCCGTTCCCACCAAACCATTCCTTTCCCAAGCTTGCTCGTGAAGTTCATCTTCCCCAACCCCGAAAACATCCATCACCAGCCGCCATGCACTGGCATAACAACGACATGTTGTAGCACTTGTAACAACTTAACCTACACATACACAGATCCTAGCACCATCTAAACAACGTACTACAGGCACAAAACACAAGGCGTGTGCAGGGACGATCTCCGGCCGGCCGGCCGCCGGCCGCGCGCGCGTTGTCATCGCCGCGCCTGCGCAATGGCCTGCTCCAGGTGCTGCAGCGACCGGTGGTAGCTGACGAAGCCCATGAACCAGAACTCGAAGCCGTCGTTGGTGACCACCTCGATGTAGCGCTGCTCCGGCTTGTGCTTGTTCTCGGTGGGCACGGCGCGCCGCACCTTGCGCAGCGGTATCGTCACCTTGTACGGCACGCGGAGCTTGGCGCCGTCGGGGGCGGCCACGGCCAGCGAGCGGTCGCTGCGGAAGGCGACGCGCTCCGTGGAGACGAAGAGCATCCCGGCGATGGGACCCGCCGTGGTGGACAGGTAGCACTGCGACGCCCTCACCAGCCGCTCGTTCTTGTCCACGGAGAACCACTGCCGGAACACCTTCTCGACGCCGCCGGCCTGCAGGATCCTGGCGCCCAGCGTGAGCTTCCCCTTGACCGTCTCCGACAGCTTTGGCCCCAGAGTCACTGCATACGTTGGGAACAAGGACGACTTCATCAGTCTAACAATCCAAAGGCATACGGTACGACCAAGAAGAAAGAAAATCAATTTTCTTTCTGATTGGTTGGCGTTCCGTGTTGAATTAAACAAGAAAATATAATACTATCGGTAATTACTTACCGTGTTCTTTGATGCCCTGGGCGATCTTTCCCCTCTTCCTGCGGACTTGGCTGGTCTGCTCGCGATCGGTGGCCGTGGAGCGGTTGGAATCGCCGTCGTTGTTGTTGATAGATTGGAACGAACCGGAGACGAATCCGCCATGATCAGGGGGGGTGATGGCCTCCTCCACCTCCACGAAGTCGGGCTCCTCTATGCCGTAGGCCGTGCTGTTGACCGGGATCCCAATCACATGATCCTGACTCGTTGACCCCTCCATCGCTACCGATCGATCGACCCAGCTCGCAAGCAAGGAATCCCTCGCGCTTCTTCCAATCAACCGCTCTGCTCCGTCTCCTGCTCTGCGTCGTCGGTGCGCCGAAAGTAATGTGCGGTGGTTGTTGTTGCTGGTAAGCTCAGGTCCAAATTGAGAAGGGGGAGGGCCGGTTTTATAGGCCGGCTTGGTGGCCCGGCTGGCGGTCTACACTATACGAATATGTTATGGTATAGTATAGTAATTCCGCGAGCGAGCGCACTTTGGAATTGTGAATTGAGAATGGATGCAACAGTCCTCATCCCCTCATCATGATAAAAAGTAGGCTTGGCGCTGGAAAAAGAGCCCGGTGGCTACCTAACTTTGCGAGGCCATGGGACCCGCCGCGTGCCGCTGCTTTTCGGTGTGTCATCCGTTTGTGTTTTCGCGCACGGAGGGAGCCTTTTCTCCTCGGAAGAAAGTCTCCGACTCGTCCAGCCGGTTCAGTTAAGTGCATATGCATTATGTGCTCCACGCAAACATACCTCAATCCGCATGCAGGATGATGCATTCGACCAGTTCGGTATCTGGCAGAGTTGACGAGATTGGGCCAAATGGCCGATCCCAGCACTGTGGCCGGCAAGCCGATTGGCGGTACCCGTTTTTGCACGCAAACAGAACACGAACCTGGGAACACCGTCAGTCAGTGGCATTGACAGAGAAAGGAATCCACGGAGATGCAGACAGAAGAACCTACACCTACAAGGCTACAGCAAACGTCGATGGCCTGAATGAGTCAGACGGACGGGGGCACACCTAGATCCGCATCGGATCAAAATCATGGCTCCCCAAAGGCCGTGACCGGAAAGCACGGGGGGCGGGCGAGTGGACGACGACGCCTTTGACGAGGCCGACGGGGTCGTCCCTACCGGCGCCACCAAGGGCCGTTAACTAACCGCCATGGCCTACGCTGCATACACACAGCGCAAAGCTAGAAGCGTCATGAATTCGGCCGCACCGTCCCTCTCCTCGTGCTTTCGCCTTTGCTTCGCTATGGCTATGGCCACGGAGGCCCCGGTCACTAGCTGCTCCCCGTAGCTTCGCCAGCGCCGCGTCCGACTACGCGCCGAGTCACCACGCGCCCCGCGCATTCGCGGTTGTTTTTCTGCGTGTCGGACAGCGCCGCTGGTTGGTTCGTCGGCTCCATATCCGCTGCAGCGAATCGACTGGTAATTGTTTGCTGGTTGGTTTTTACTTTCACGGCCTCCTTTTGTATATTTTTTTCCTTTTCCAAAGGGTGCTGTCACTTCTTCGTTTCCTTGCTCGGTTGGGTAAACATCCATGTTCGTGCAACCTGTGCTTGCGCATGCATGTATTCCTAAGATACTACTACGTGAATTAGGACATATTTTTTTTCTTCGTGAATGGGGTAGTTAAGATTATTTTGTTCCTGAATGGAATGCGGGCTCCAAACCAAAGTATTAGAGCATCTGCATTTCCACATAAGGGCCTCTTTGGTTTAACTTTAAACTTTTTTTTGAACCATTATTAAAGAGTTTAACTTTTTGCATAGCTTTTTGATTCATAGGATTGAATCTTACAACCATCGTGTCAGTCTGGTCGGCATAATAACCGTCGATACGGCGATTTTGCCCAAAATGTCAATCTGGTTAGGCTGTGATAATTTGTGAAGCGTGCTCCATATCGAGCCCACCATGTTTTTCGCAGCCCACTGCCCACGGTTATAAAATGGTTGTCGCCATGTCCGAATAGCTCGCCTGATCAACCCTCAGCAAGTCAGCATCCACTTCACTCCCGTCGCCATGTCGCTTCCCCTCAATTGGACTAGGTGTCGCCCTCGGAGGATGAGGAGTAGATGGTGGACGAGGAGGGGGCCGCCCTCACCGCCGAGGAGGACGAGGATCGACGTTATGCACTCGAGGTTGCACATGAGATCATGCCCTCAATGAGCACCCGAATTGGAATCCCAAAACACATTCCATTGTGTGGGATATCCAGCGCGGCTACGTGCAGACCCAGTATGAGCAGGATATAAGAGAGATTGCCACGTAGCTCATATCAGCCACTATGTGCTCCCTATCGGCTCATTGTTAAGGAGGCTTGGGATGAGCGCTACACATCGGTTGCCTGTCTGATGAAATCTTCAAGCACACCGGTGTCGGGGAGGAGTTAAAGGCTGAGAGGGACCATGGCGTGTGGCTCCATTACGAGGAGAAACAAGTGTGTTTGATAGCGTAGAGGCAATCCATCAGATGGCGTGCATTTGACATGAAGATAGTGTCATTCACTGAGACGACTCGCACCATGTTGAACCTTGCCCCATTGAATATGATGTCCCCGACCTTGATGAAGATTGGTCGTTGGACCGTCAAACGGTCGTGCCTGGATGACGAGTGAACTTGTCACGTATGCATGTGCCCTTCTGTGATGGTGGTGGGAACAACTAGCCCTTCTCCCAAGCCAAAAAAACTCATTAGTTTAGTTTTAAAAAAGTCAATAATCGACTTTTCTACCCTTATGTAACCACTTTGTAATGCAACTTTATCTCAAGTTAGTGTTTTAGTCCTTTAAATAGAGTGTTTTAATTATATTAGATGTAGTGTTTTAACTTCGCAAAAGGATGAATTATTTGAGGAGTTAGGGTATCTCCAATGCCGACCCGCAAATTTCCTCCCGCATGCATGCACGGACAGCAAGAGGGGGGGACCAGTCCACAGACACGGATGCCTGAGACCGCCATCCAACGCTGCCTGCATCCATTTCAAGCCGGGTTTCGACTTAGCAGACGAAATTCATGCAAACCGGCTAATATTCATCAATGTTCTAAAAGAAAATAGCACAAATCATCCATACATAGTTGCACATAAGTCTAGTGTCTCAACTTCGATGTCCAACAAGTTTTTCAACGGATCATGTCGTCCCACACACACTGCCCCTTCAACTTCATCCAAGAGTGTGTACGTAAATGGTCGTCCCTCTGTCTTGTGGTACATGATAGCAGCGTGTAAGGGCTACACAATATGTAGAGCAATATTGAGTGAATGAATTGCTTCTAGCTAAGCAACTACGTGATAAAACTTGGTGACGATGGCCTGAAATGGCGTATCATCGATACGATAACGACCTCACATTGCGATCATGGATGATGTGTATGTCGTAGGGCGCAATGTGCTTTCATGCATGAAACGATTCAATGCACTTCCTGGCAGAATGTCCCCCCTCTGCTCCTGCCTACGAAATCCGCGGATATGACCAACCACACATCACACAACAACTCATCCTTCATGGCGAGTACCCCGCCATCCTTCTTCCTCTGAAAAAACGACATGGCGTCCGAAAATAAGCTCAATGGGATTTGACCGAACACCTGCCAGACGTGGTGGCCGCCATGGAGGTCGTCAACAGGGTGGTGGATCGGAGTGTACATGGGTACAAATGGCTCCAGGGTAGACAGCGCCGTCGTAAAAGGCGAGTGGGTGTGTCGGTGCTGGTGGCGAACGTACAACAATGCATGTGTGGCGGCCGAAGAGATACAGCAGCGGCGGAGATGGAGGTTGTGGATGCAAAGCAAGGGGGTGAAGTGAAATGGGACAGGGAGGGTGGATTTAGTGGGCCTGGGGTGTCGGAGTCTACCCTCCACTTTGCGAGAGCAATTGCGTCCGGACCGATACAGGGGCGCGTTGGATGGCTTTCGTGGTCTGAACATGTGCGGACGGTTTAAGAGTCGGCGTTGGAGATGCTTTATAGGTTCTTTTTTAAGGGAGAGATGCTTTATAGGTGTTTAGGGGAAGTGATGAAGCTATGTACCTAGGGTAGGGTCATGGACCTTGTTGGGTAACGTAGTAGTTTCAAAAAATTTCCTACGCACACGCAAGATCATGGTGATGCATAGCAACGAGAGGGGAGAGTGTGATCTACGTACCCTTGTAGATCGACAACGGAAGCGTTTGGTTGATGTAGTCGTACGTCTTCACGGCCCGACCGATCAAGCACCGAAACTACGGCACCTCCGAGTTTTAGCACACGTTCAGCTCGATGACGATCCCCGGACTCCGATCCAGCAAAGTGTCGGGGAAGAGTTCCGTCAGCACGACGGCGTGGTGACGATCTTGATGTACTACTGCAGCAGGGCTTCGCCTAAACTCCGCTACAATATTATCGAGGACTATGGTGGAAGGGGGCACCGCACACGGCTAAGAATATGATCACGTGGATCAACTTGTGTGTCTCTGGGGTGCCCCTGCCTCCGTATATAAAGGACTAAAGGGGGGTGCAGCCGGCCTAGGAGAGGCGCGCCAGGAGAGTCCTACTCCCTCTGGGAGTAGGATTCCCCCCCCCCAATCCTAGTTGGAATAGGATTCGCGGAGGGGGGAATAGAGAGAGAGGGGACGGCCCCCTCTCCTTGTCCTATCCGGACCAAGGGAGGGGAGGGGCGCGCGGCCCATGAAGGGCTGCCTCTTCTCTTTTCCACTAAGGCCCATCATGGCCCATATAGCTCCCGGGGGGTTCCGGTAACCTCCCGGTACTCCGGTAAAATCCCGATTTCACCCAGAACACTTCCGATATCCAACCATAGGCTTCCAATATATCAATCTTTATGTCTCGACCATTTCGAGACTCCTCGTCATGTCCGTGATCACATCCGGGACTCTGAACAAACTTCGGTACATCAAAATGCATAAATTCATAATATAACTGTCATCGTAACCTTAAGCGTGCGGACCCTACGGGTTCGAGAACAATGTAGACATGACCGAGACATGTCTCCGGTCAATAACCAATAGCGGAACCTGGATGCTCATATTGGCTCCTACATATTCTACGAAGATCTTTATCGGTCAGACCGCATAACAACATACGTTGTTCCCTTTGTCATCGGTATGTTACTTGCCCGAGATTCGATCGTCGGTATTCCAAATACCTAGTTCAATCTCGTTACCGGCAAGTCTCTTTACTTGTTCTATAATACATCATCCCGCAACTAACTCATTAGTTGCAATGCTTAC